CTAGTAATTTTTTTTCTAAAAATAGATTTATTATGATTTTTCTAATTAAATTTTTGTGTAACAATGGCTTGAAATGTGATTTTCCTAGCAAAGATCCTATATAGTATTCATTATAATCTAGTTTAATTAATATTATAAATATGAATTTGTAATGTATAGTAATAGTTGTGAATATAATTAAGAATTAAATAAAGTGTTTGTAGATATAAAATAAAAATATATCAAAGTAGATTAGTTATTTATTATAATATGTTTCTAAATCTTATAAAGTATTGTAATATAGATATTAGAAAATTTTTTGAAATGTGATAATAAAATGAAATTCAAGAAAACTAGAAATTTCTCTATAGGTTCATTTACTATATACTCAATTTTTATAACTATAAAAAATACTATGTATATTAAATCTAACTAATATAAACTTGATTTTTTATCTAATAGATTTTATCACTTGTCTATTTATATTATTTTCTTTTAAGAATAACTTATTAAAAATGAAAAATATCATAATCTTAAAGGTAATGACTATATTAATATAATCTACAGAAAAATTTATTAAAAAAGAATATCTATAAGAAAGAATGGATCTTTCAAGATTGTTAACTCTTGAAAATGTAAATTGAATTTAATTTGTAAAATTAATTTTTTTTATTTCTAAATATATTTTTTCTTAATAATATTAGACAATTTTTATTAAGTTTATAGAAATGTCATTGATATCAAAGTAGATAATAACCCAAACTAAGAAATTTGAATTAATGATTTTGGTTGTAAGAAAATTGATAACCTGCTGTTAACTGAGTTGATCAAAGTTATAATTTTGTGCAACTGTATCTTAATAAATTTTAAGATATTGATAAAAGTAATAGCTTTTCCATTTGGGATTTGACTTAGTAGAATTATTTGAGCCAATAATTCTTCAACTTTTGTGACAAGATCATTAAGAAATTGTGTAAGAATTTGTTTTTTAAAGGTAAGTATATAAAAAAAGATTGATAATTACATAAGAATTTTAATTTTATTTGATTACCTTCCTAATGTCATGATCTAAAAAGGGATCGTCGATATTTCATTTAAATTAGATCGCATAAGCAAATATTAATATACAGTAATTATTAGATATAGCACATATACAGAGCGTAATTAGCAGATGCAGCGTAATTAGCGTAATTAGTAGATTTAGTGCAATTAGTGTAATCAATAGATATAGCGAATATAGCGTATTTAGTGTAATTAGTGTAATTAGCATAAATAGCGTAATTAGTGTAATTAGCATAGATAGCATAATTAGTGTAATTAGCGTATAGAGAAAAGTATATAAGTAATGTGTTAGTAATGTAAGAAAAACAAGTCTCGCAGGTCTCGCAGTATAGAAAATAAAGATACACTTACCCTTAGTACTCGCCCAAATCCCACGCCTCTTTTGAGTACTAATTCGTCCGACGTTACGCGAGAGACGTTCTTCTACCCTATGAATAGGGAGTTTTAGAGTTGACAATTTCCGTAAAACGACAATATCTTTGTATTTGGTGATTCTCCGGCATTAATAATCACATTAAAATCTTCTTGATCATCAAGAAATTCAAGATAATTTACTGAAAGTTTTTCTAAAAGATTCCCTGTCATTTTTGTTCGTAAATACGTAACATGAAAAAAGGTTATGCTACAGAAAATTCAATCGACATTGTTATACAAGTATCGGTTCCCAAAATGGGTTTATACAATTATCGATTTTGATTAGCGTTAGGTTTAACGGCAAGTACCAACAGGAGGAAACTTCGATGTTACACGACTGATCGTTCGCCCGGTGTGCAATATATAAAAAGATTATTTTACATAACAGGTCATTCCGCCAATACATGTTAAGGATATTTTTATTATATAAAAATGCTGTTAAATTATAATCATAACATGTACTAGCGGAATGATCTGGTATTGTTAAATAATTTTTTTATATATTGCACACTGGGTGAAGGATCAGTCGTATCGGTACTGGTTTATGTTCATAGGCAGAAGTTCATCTGATATTTACATTATTTATACTGTTTAGAGTACTTTATTAAAAAAACGAAAACCGACTATAATAAAAAAAAAAAAAAAACCTATATAGAAGTTTTCATTAGAGCTGTAGGCTCCATAGTCAAAAACAAGATCGAATTCTCGTCCATTTAAAAAAATTAATTTAGTAATAAGTTGATTTTATCGAGTTTTGAGAAGTTAATACTATACTAACTTTTTTAAACGGACGAGAATTAGATCTTATTTTTGGCAATGGAGTTTATACAACTTTCGTACTTTTTTAAAAAGTGCTCTAAAACAGTATGAATAATATAAAATTGAATTTACAAAACAGAGTTTATGTCGATCATTATCGATCATTGTCAAATTAGGAGGTCGTGGGAACATGAAAGATCGTCGTATATGCACCAATCAGATCTTTTCGAATAATTAAACCAATTTTAATATTCGTAATGCTTTAAAGTACTAAAACCTCACGTTATGGTTGGGATAAAAATTGCGATATGCATGCTCTATACCAAAATTTCGCAAGGAAGGTTTTTTTATTAGAGCGCAGAAAGTGATTTCATAGTCAAAATTTTTAGCTATCGTCTGTATTTTAAGATCGTCGTATATGCTCCAATCGGATGTTTTTGAATGATCGTCGCCAATAAGATCACTAGATAAGGTCTAACGTGAAATCACGTTTTTTTCATGGTCTCACTGGGTAGCTTTTATTAGACATTAATCTAAAAACAGTCGTAGCATCGCCCATAGAAAAAATGCCACTGATGTTGGGGTGGTTGGTCAACTAATTAAATCAAGTTTATATGTAGACCCATAGTTAAACAATTAGGCCAATTTTTAATACGAATGTATTATTATACAAATGAATATCACTTTTCAATATACGAAAATGATGGATTTTGAAATCTAAATCCTTTCATGGTATTAATTCTTTGAACTTAAGAACTACATAAACAGAATAAAAAAGAAAGCTTTTTAATTTGTCGTGAAAATTTTTCTTTTTGCATTTAAAATTTCCAAATTTTATAAATTTTAATATTTTATAAAGATTTATATAATCTAAAGTTTATAAAATATCAAACTTTTAAATGCAAAAAGAAAAATCTTCATGATAAATTAAAAAGTTTGCTTTATTAATCTGTTTTATGTTATTCTTATGTTCAAAGAATTAATACCGCGAGAGGATTTAGATTTCAAAATCCAACACTTTCGTATAATAAATTCTTATTGCATGTTATATCATTTGTGTAACGATACATTCGTATTAAAAAATTCGCTTAATTGTTTAATTACGGGTCAACAATAGGTTTGATTTAATTAGTTGACCAACCAACCTACCGCTGACGTCAAATTTTATATAGTATTTATATGTGTTACATATTTCTTAATATACAAGTCGCTTAGCATAATCAATTTAAAAACTAAATTATTTCATTTTAATTATATTTACAAGAGTATTTTTATGGGTGATGATATAATCTATGTTTAAAATCAAATTATAAATTATTATAAAGACTTAATTTCATTTACTTTACTGCAGTGAGTGCATATAAAGAATGTTCATCTAAGTATTTAAAACGTATCCACCGATTTGATTTTTGGAGGTATTTTTTTGATACGAACTTATGCTATTAAGTGACGTAAAGAATAAAAACGAAACATTTAATAAAAAAGTTTTGGTCTCCATATTAAAAAACAGCCACGCTAATCAGTAAAAAAAAAAGCACTGTCACTAGCTGTTGAAGTGTTCAAGTATTTTCGGGTAGTGAAGGATTGGTTTGTCATTAAACGATTGGTTGACTGATAGGTGAGGGTGAATTCGGAAGCAATTTTCAGGAAAACGGTCTTGCTAAACTCTTAATTATAGATCCAAAATAAGTTTAAAAGACCGTTTTTGTATTTGTAATAATTTTAACACCAAATAATTCTCAATGATTACTAATTTTGAGGTCAAACCAAATCGGTTGATATGATAGGCTATTCAAGTTTTTAATCATTTAATTTTATTTACTTTGCTGCAATGAATGAGTATAATAAAAATTTACTGAGTAAAATAAGATATATAAAAATTTACTGAGTATTTAAAATAAGATATTTAAGTTTATGAATCATTTAATTTTATTTACTGCAGTAACTCAAAATTTTTATCGAATCGTTATTAAGGATGTAAAATTACTGTACGTAATTTTATGTAATTTTGCGGTTGATTTCGTGAATTAATTTTTCATGTAATTTATAATTTTGAACACATGATATTTAGTTTCTGAGATAAAATTTTCGGTGATTTAGGAGTTACAATTCGGATGTAAATTCAAATCAAATGATGTGATAATACTGGCTGACACATTATGAAAGATATTTTCTAAAACTTAAGTACATGTAATGTAAAATTGGAATTATATAACTAATTGTTATGCTAACTAGCCATTCTAGAATTGCCCATAAAACAATGTAGCTTGTGTTATAATTAAAGCTCAGAATTAATAATGAAAACAATGAAGTGTTATTTTTTAGTGTCTCCTATAAAAAAGAGTGTAGCTAATATAACAGATAAACATGGCAATTTTTTTCATTACCCCTCGGTTAACTTCATCAAGAAATTTTTTTTATGAAATTAGTATGTAAAAACTACATGAATTTATATGACTTTACATAATTTTTCACGAATAATTTATGCATCCTACAGACCTTCAGCAATACTACACAAAAAAAACAACATAAATTTATGTAAATTGTTAAAGAACTTTACAATTACATAAATTTAAATCAAACAATTATATATTTACAGGATTTCCTATTTATCGGATTTTGCATTTACCAACTATTATCCAGCAGTTGAATTTTATCACTTTTTATGCATTAAATTCAACAAGGGCAACAAACAGATCTTCAGGCACTCTTTCTTTTTTCTGAGGCTGGGTGCTCTAACATGAACATTCATCATAAATTTAAAAAAAAAGAACAATAATAATACAATGACAAGGGCTGATGCCCTTGGGTTGAAGAAATACAAAAGACTAGAGAATGAACAACCAATAACTATTAAAAAAAGAAAATTTGTAAGAATACAGCAAATGAATAATAGAACCTCTACTGCAAAGGGTGACAATACCCATTTGTCAACTTCAAAAGCTGATATGACAGATTTTACCTTACAAGCTAATATAACTAAAGGACATCCAACTCTTGACTCCATCAATGATTTCAATGGAAATTGGGCAGATGAAATTAATAAAAGTGTCAATACACAGCAGAGTGCACCTCTAAACTCTACTATGAATAATAATGAAAACTCAGAAAATTCTTTGGTTAATACACATACCTTATGTACAGAAGCACATGACTCTGACATAAATTCAGCAACTTATTGTGCAGACTATGATGCAGGCACTTTAAATCAGTTACCAAAAGTGAATAATCCATACAGAAATAAGGATACCTCCTCTGAAGATCTGAGAAAAAATACCCAAAATAAATCCTAGACAAGCCTATTTATCAAGTTAACTAGAGGATCATCAACATTTTCTACATTTTCAGTATGTAATCAAATTACTACTAAAAATAACAGAGTTGCAATTTTTGATATCCGTACACTCAACAATCTACCTATGAATGAAATTGTAGTGGTTTTAAACAAAAGTATCGGCAATGATATTCTTGAAATAAAACCACATTTTACAAAAGGAATTCGGACTCATTTAGAAATCATTTTCAAATCCAATGAAAATGTACAAAAATATAGCACAGAAGGAATCAGTTTATTTAACAGAACCTTTTTAGGTTATATTCCTACTAATAGTAGAAATACTTACCTTTCATTTAAACTCAGAAATGTTCCAATTGACTTTTATGATGACATCACAAGAGAAATTAAGGATATTTTTGAACATGTGGGCAAAATTTCCTCAATTAAACCTCTTGTTTTTGAAGGTACTTTAATTCTAAGTAATCAATGGGTAGTAATATTCGACACTACTGATAATCCAAATATAGCTAAACAGATTCCAAGATTTATAACAATTATGGACCAAAAGGTCACTACTGATTGGAGAGAAGCACCTAAACTTTGTTTCTTTTGTGATACTGAAGGTCATATTAAGCGAGAATGTCAACAATACAAAGAAGTACAAGAACTCAAAGCAACATACAAAGCATATAAAAGAAACAAACCTTCATACGAAAACTCAGCATTGTACTATCAAACAGATACAAATACAATTAACAATAACTCTATAATTCCAATACAAGCAGCAGA